GTTGAAAAAACAAGGTTGAATTTTGGCCTACAGTGGTAGAGCTGATATGAATTCAGGAATTGTGGCACAGTAAAGAGTGATGGAGAGAGATGAAGCATGAAAGGAAAACAAGAACAAGGCCTCCTGTGGGGCCTCCTGAACCCAAGAACAACGGAAGCCAGTCAGAAACAAGGAGGAGCTCAAGGGGTATAAACTGGGGAGCTTGTACAGTGCTTGGCTGAACATAACCCCCATAATAACTGCTGAATAGAATGAAGGAGTAACACTCAGGACTGTCTCATCAATGGAATGTAGTATCCCGTGAAGTCACTAGATAGAGGCTTGGCAAACTATGGCTCATGGGACAAACTGAACTCACTGTTTTTGCAAATGAAGTTTTATTGGAATGTAGCCATGACCATTCATTTAGATACTGTCCATAGTCTGTGGCTTCTTTTGTTCTATAATAGCAGAGTTGAACAGTTGTGACAGAGACCAGAAAGCCTAAAGTACTTACTATCTGGCTATTTATGTCACAAGTTTGAACTAGCTAGTCATGGAGAACTCAGGTGACCGCTGATTTGGGGTGCTGCACAAGGGATGCTGACATTCAACTCTCTGACCTCTATAAATCTCCCAACTCTGACTGTGATCAACAGACATGGTTTGATTAATGACAGCCTAAGCTTTGATATCTAAGTTAGTAAAAGTTACATTCAAATCATAAATGAATCAATTTCTCAACATCTGACCCCCATATATTACATCGTCCCAGGAAGATGAGCCAGTAGAAAATGTTAATCAATCATTTGGGCTGACATCCACTAAAGCTGGTAAGTTGCAGGAAATCATTTAAAATAAAAGGCAATGTGTAAATTAGTCATATTTCTCTTTTATTTTAAGGTATCATGTCTCCACCTTAGCTTTAATACTTAAAGTTTTGTATAAAAGGAACTAAATTAAAATAAACATTGAAGTTTTAGGATATAATAATTTTTAAAGCTTAAATAAAACACACCTCTATAACACAGAGAATAATCATCAAATTATTGATACTGCAATCTATAGCAACAGAAAATTGTTTACTTGTTTTTGAGAAAGATGCATTCCCTATAGAGGAACCAATATTTTGTTTTAAAATCACTATACAGAATTTTGAGAATCAAATCCCAAATTCAGGCAGCTGAATTTAGCCAGTAATTACTGGAAGGCATGATTCAAGAAAAGCTCAGAACAAACATCCTCTTATTATTATCAGAATAATTTATTATCAGAATAAACATCCTGTTATTTAAAGAAAAAAAAGTTCAGGAGTTAGAAAACAATGGAGTGAATCCAGAAACAAGATAGTATCCTATAAAGAAATCCTAAGCCTGTCTCAGACACTTTCTTAATTGATATGTATGTTTGCCTAATGAGCTGAAGAACTTGCTAGAGGTAAGATGTCAGCTAAATAAAAAAAGGGGACAGGAATCCATGACAATCCTGAATAGCTGTCCCTCCTACTGGTACTTTTCAGTGGAAGAAATACAAAAGAATGCCACCTGTTCATTTACTTGATTTTTTTTTTAGTTGGAGTTTCACTCTGTCATCAAGGCTAGAGTGTAGTGGCACACTCATGGTCACCACGGCCTCCACCTCCTGGGTTCAGGCGATACTTCTGCCTCAGCCTTACAAATAGCTAGAACTACAGGTGTGTGCCACTGGCTAATTTTTTGAGTTGCCCAGGGTGGTCTTGAACTCCTGAGCTCAGGCAATCCTTTCACCTCTGCCTCCCAAAGTGCTGGGATTACTTTTGCCTCCACCTCCCAAAGTGTGTGAGCCACTATACCTGGCCTACTTGGTATTTTTAAAAGAGATCAAGTGAGTTTATATAAATTACTGGCTATTATAATGATCATCCTGCTTTTCTCAATGTGGGCATTCTGAGAGGAAAGAATTTACATGAAATAAAAGTGAAAGTAAGTTTTAGTTACTAGGAGCCAGGAACATGGTTGTACCTTCAAAAAGCTTCAAATACCTTCTTGGAGTTTAGAGGCAACTGTCCATATGTTGTGTTGACTTTTACAGATAGTTAATAAAAAGCAGTATTTTCTCAAAGGTGCTTCTCTTAAATTTCATGCCAGTTAAGGGACTTTGAAGCCAATCATTAAATGACGATAGGACCCTTTAGGTACAGGCGATCACTATTTCAGTGAAAAGCCTTTGGTGAATGTTTTTTGAAAGCACGGTGAATTCGATCAGTTATGGCAGCCCTCATTCTTACTCAGATTCCTTTTGGCCAAATATAAAACCTCACGTTGATGCTTTTCAGGCAGGGACAACTGCCCATCCCCAGATCACACACAATCTGCTGAGAGTTTCATCTGACTCAAGAGAAACCCTGCCTAGTGTGACGACCCTTGAGCTGAAAAGGAACTTAGGGTTGATGGCCACTCTTGTGCATCGGGTTAACAGTGGAGGAGCAGGGGCAGCAAGGACTGACTTAGAAGTGACCTGAAAGCCGGGCTCGGTGGCTCAGCCTGTAATCCCGCGCCTTTGGGAGGCTGAGGTGAGTGGATTGCCTGAGCCTGCGGGTTTGAGACCCGCCTGGGCAGCGAGACCTCATCTCTACAATAAATCAAAAAATCAGCCGGGCGTGGTAGCGCATGCCTGTAATTCTGGCCACTTGGAAGGCTGAGGCGCAAGGATCGCCGGAGCCCAACAGGTTGAGGCTGTGGTGGCTGGGAGCGGCCACTGCACTCCAGTCTGGGTGACAGAGTGAGACTCCAATTCAAAAAAAAAGTGACCTGAGTCCCTTTCCCCCTACATATAAAAATATTCCTTCTCATTAAGTGAAAAGAGCAGTTTGCAAAAAAATATGTTGAATATGATTGTTACATTAAAAAAAAAAGAGAGGAAACATATTGAGATGTTAACACTGTGGTTGTTATAAAGGAAGTACAGAGGTTTTCTTTCCTGTGCTTTAATTTCCTAATTTTTCTGTTGGAAAAATGGATAATTTGTTTCCTGTATGGATTTCTATGAGTTCTAAATTGTAAGGAACATGTGTTAAAGTTTTATAATTAAGGAAAAAAACCATCTTTTTCTTTTTAAAATATAAAGCACATGCTTATAAACTGGAAAAGATCCAGTCTGATCAAGATAGTGAAAGCTTCGATGTGAGAAGAAAAAAGAGCAAAGTCTGTGAGAACCAGTGTTAAGTCTGGCAAAGAAAATGCTCCATGAAGCCAAAATCTTGAAGGGCTACGAGCATGGGGATGATGAATTATTATTTTGCCTAGGTTCAGAGGGAAGAACCAGAATAAGCAGGCAGGAATTTCAAGGAGGAAAAATGTTCTCGTTAGAAAGAAAACTACCTAACAATCAGAAGCACTCAAACTTTGTGGTAGTGCTATTCCATTTGGATGTGTTTAAACTGAGGATAGGTGACTTTCTGTTTGTTTTCCTAAAGAAACTAAAGAAAGATTCCTTTTTTTTTTGGTTAGGAAAAAAACTGTCACCCAGGCTGGAGTGCAGTGGCACAATCACTGCTTGCCAGTCTCAACTTCCTGGGGTCAGGCTCTCGGATAGCTGGGACTACAGGTATGTGCCACCAAGTCCAGCTAATTTTTTTGATTTTTTTTGTAGAGACAAGGTCTTGTTATATTGCCTAGGCTGGTCTTAACACTTGGCCTCAAGTGATCCTCCTGTCTCGGTCTCCCAAAGTGCTAAGATTACATACAGGCTTTAGCCACTGCATCTGGCCTCTAGGAGTACTTTCTTTCCTTTTTTTTTTTTTTTTGAGTCAAAGTCTCACTCTGTTGCCCAGGCTGGGGTACAGTGGCATGCTCACGGCCACTGTAGCCTCGACCTGCAGGGCTCATGCAATCCTTCCACCACAGCCTTCCAAGTAGCTGGGACTATAGGTGTGTGCCACCATGCAGGGCTAATTTTTTTGATTTATTATAGGGATGAGGTCTTGTCAAGTGGCCCAGCCTGATCTCAAACTGGCAGGCTCAGGCAATTCTCTCATCTTGGCCTCCCAAAGTGCTGGGATTATAGGCATGAGCACCGTGCCCAGCCTAGAGTACTTTCAAGCAAACAGTATTGAGGATGTTAGGGAACCACTAAAGTACTCTTTATAAAATAAAAAAATGCCGGGCTCCGTGGCTCAGCCTGTAATCCCGCGCCTTTGGGAGGCTGAGGTGAGTGGATTGCCTGAGCCCATGGGTTCGAGACCCACCTGGGCAGCGAGACCTCATCTCTACAATAAATAAATAAATAAATAAATAAATCAGCCGGGCGTGGTAGCGCATGTCTGTAATTCCGGCTACTTGGAAGGCTGAGGCGGAAGGATCGCCGGAGCCCAGCAGGTTGAGGCTGCGGTGGCTGGGAGCGGCCACTACTCCAGTATGGGCGACAGAGTGAGACTCCAACTCAAAAAATAATAATAAATAAGATAAAATAAAATAAAATAAAAAAATATTTGATTAAATGTTAGGGAACCACTAAAGTACTCTTTATAAAATAAAAAAAATAGTTGATTAAAACAGATCAATTTTCCAGTGAAGCAACTGACCATTCTGGAATTCTAGTAGTGGATCAATTTGATGTCTACTTTTTTCCCTTTTTTGGAGACAGGGTTTCTCTCTGTTACCAGGCTGAAGAGCAGTGGCAAACCAGACTAAGTTTTTTTGTAGAGACAGGGTCTCACTATGTTGCCTACACTGGTCTTGAACTCCTGGCCTAAAGCTATCCTCCCACATCAGCCTCCCAAAGTGTTGGGATTATAGGTGTGAGCCACTGTGCCTAGCCCTGGTGTCTCCATTTTTATAGTACACAGGTACTTACTTTTTGTTTAGTTCCTAGCAAATGTGGTCAAAGGTTTAGTTAGTTGTCATGTTGGGCTTTCTCATGTTGTGGTGACACACAACATTGGCCTAGAACAATAAATGTTTTTTCTAGCATACAAAAAGCACAATAGTATTTGAAAACCTTTTCTTCTTGTTTGCTTCTTCTAATTTTCTTCTGTTTTTTACCTGTCCTCTGAGGCAGTTGGGCGAGTGGCTGTTTGCAGTGGAGTGTGTACTTGATTAGAGTAAAAGGTGTTTGACAATATGTCAGCTCCTTCAAGCTCCCTGCAACAGTAAGGCCTGCCGTGAATTACCTCCATGCTTCTTGGCTAAAAAGGTACAATCTGCAAAAGAAAAGGCAGGGACATTTGTTTTGGAAGTCAAGAAAGATAGAAAACATGTTTTGTATTGCTAAATTGTTCAACCCAAAGCTGCACTGAAATCAGGGACTTCCTTCCTCACCAAAAGCCCGACTCTCTGCTGTCAAATTAGTAATTAAAAAAGCGACTTATTTAAGTTTTGTGGAAATAAATTTCAATGGAAACAAATCCACAAAGTGCAAGGTATTTCCAAGTAGAATCTAAACACTACTTGGCTTGCCAGTAGGTCCGTATGGGTCGCTACTTGGCAGGCATCGACTGAAATCCAACTCTTGCCTCAAATTGAACTACAACAATTCAAGAAAACTCGGCTGATTTTCACCCCTGTGGGCCTCATGCAACAAGAATCTCTTTGCACACAGGAGAAGAATCAGTGGTACAGCATGAAGCGGATTCCGGCGAGGACTCACTTAGGGGAGAAAGCCCTGGGGAGCGCCGTGGCCTGGACCTTGGGGGAGAAAGACTGGGAGGCGCCGTGGCTAGGACCGAGCCTCCGGAGCCATCGTCGCCTTGCCGAGCGGAGCCTCGGAGGTTGCCACGCACCTGAGACATCAGCCTGGGAGCGTCACCGGCCCTCGCCTCCCCTTCCCCTCCCTGGAGGTGGCGGATCTCCGCGGGGCGTGGGATTTTGCCGTGGTCCGCACCTGCGGCCCCGGGGAGCTTGTAAGCAGGCGCGGGTGAGGGAGGGAGAGAGAGAGGGACCGCCGGCAGGACGGGGGTGGGGTTGAGGGTGCCTGTGACGGTGACCGTGACCGTAGCACTAGGTAATGCATCCTCGAAGAGCCGGGCGGGGGGTCGGAGCGGGGAGTCGAGAGCTGCCAGCGGCCCTTGCGGGTCCCGGAGCAAGCGGCGCAAGAGCTCCGAGACCTGCAGGATTGGGAGGCGGGACCGGAAGGAAAGAGACAGAGAGGCACCCAATCAGGTGAAACGGATTTTTCCCGTCCCTATGGCCCTGCCCCTCTCGGCTCCTCGCTCCGCCCGCTGTCGGGCTTAGTCTTGCTTCCATTTTCTCTCCGCCCCCTGGCGCCCTCTGGCGGCGGCGGCTGCAGCATCAGTTTCTCCTTCCAGAGCTGCCTAGTCTCGTGTACCCGTGCCAGGCGTTCTCTTCTGGGGGCTGGGCGAAGGAAGAGCGCTGGACCAGAGGAGGAAGGCGGGGGACATCCTAGTGAAGCCAGAACGTCCGCCCTACCCTATCCGGCATTCCTACCCCCTTCCCCCGCTCCCGTCACCTTGCGGGCATTGGGGGACAGTGCGGCCAGATCCAAAGTGGGGTCTGCGGGATTCTGCAAGCGCAGCCCGGCCACAGCCTCCTAACAGAGCCTCTGCCCTTTCTCCGTTGGTGGGTGCAGACGTGGCATTCTTTACCTCACGATTCCCAAGGGCCTAGCCCCACCTCGATTATCTCAGTTTCCCCCAAAATAAACGAAAGCGAATTACGTTTCCTTTTGTTGTTGTTGTTGTTGTTTTTTTGAGTCGGAGTTTCACTCCGTTGCCCAGGCTGAAGTGCAGTAGCCTGGACCTGCTGGGCTCAGGCGATCCTACCGCCTCAGCCTTCCAAATAGCTGGGACTACAGGCGCCACCATGCCTGGCTAATTTCTTGATTTGTTCTAGCGATGAAGTCTCGCCAAGTTGCCCAGGCTGGTCTTGAACTCCTGGGTTCAGGCAATCCTCTAGACTTCACCTCCCAAAGTGCTGGGATTACAGCCTTGAGCCACCGTGTGCTGCTGAGTCTTTGTAATGATTAAGGTTTTTGGTTATTAACAGAAGTCAATTTATTTTATTATTTTATTTATTTAGTCAAGGTCTCACTTTGTTGCCAAGGCAAGATTATGGCTCACTGCAGCCTCAAACTCCCTCGCCTGGCAAGAATCACGTTTCTGCACCTACAGGGTCATAAGTTTCTGTGTTGGCTGAGAACACGGACCTCTGAGAAGGAAGGTTATGGGGAAAGGCTACATTTTGGGTGGAAGAGGCAAGAACTGAGCCTGCAGGAACGCAGAAGGTGGAGGCTTGAGTGACCTCCTCTGATTAGGGCAGTGTGACGGTGCCTTTGCCATTCTCCACTTATTTTACAACTTTTAACTAACCAATCAATGGGCATTTATTTTGAGCTGCACCTTCTAGGTGAATGTTACCTGGTGTGGGGGAAAAAGGTGTATTGGAGTAAGTACAGTGGTCATTTGAAGTCTTGGTTTATTTCCTAGTCCTGGCACCTCTCCCAACCCTTTGATGTTACCATCCACAAAGCCTGGGCATATCCTGCTGAAGACAGAGTTGTAAATTAGGTGACATTGCCTTATCTTTGACACATTTATCCACCTTTTTTGGATTTCTGGTACAAGTTCATTCTAACCTTTTGCCGTTTTGCTGTTCCTGTATTTTTAGAATCTTCCACCAAATTCCTTTCCAGCTCAGTTCCTGTCCCCAGTCTTCCAGTACTTTCCATGCTTCACCTTTTGCTCAACCTTAGTCTCATTTTCTCATGGCTTGATTCTTCCTGGGAAGAATAGCTGAGCATAATAGATTTAACAGAGACAGCTAATGAAGACGCATCACTAGCTGTGTATATGTGGATGGTGATGACACTGGGAAGCTGTGTCAACCCCAGGGTGAACGACCGGGATATGTGGTGATAGCCTCCGGATTCTAGTGAGTTCAAAATTTTATTGTAGGAAAATGTAATTATTTTTATCCCTGCCAGTTTTCAAATAAAATTTACAGACAAGAAAATTCATTGTAAAACATTTGTTTTCTTTGGAAATGCTTCTCCCTCTGAAAGTTCTCAGGGATATCAGGATCAGGTCTGTTTGTTGACCAGCACCCTATTTTTAGTTTTTGTGATTTTACTCACTCTGCCCTCAATAACACAAAGTAACTTCCTACCCAGGGATTCTCAAAGTGACTGACTTCTTAGGCATATCACAGCCGGGGGGTCAGTAACCTCAGATCGCCTTTTTTCTACTTCTGACATGTAAATCTCTGTCTGTTTCATCACCTCATTTTGATAGTAATTCTTGAAGCAGGGAAGATGAAAGTTGATAATGAAAATAATATATACTGGCCCAGTATAGTGGCTCAGGCATGTATCCCAGACCTCCCTTAGGGAGGCTGAGGCAATGGGATTGCTTGAGCCCAGGAGTTCCAGACCAGCCTGGGCCACATAGCAAGACTGCGTCTCTATAAAAAAAAAAAAGAAAAAAAAAAATAGTCAGGCATGGTGGCAAATGCCTGTAGTCTCAGCTACTTGGAAGGCTGAGGCAGAAGGATCGCCTGAGCCCAGGAGGTCAAGGCAGCAGTGAACTGTGATTGTGCCACTGTACTCCAGCCTGGGTGACAGAGTGAAACTCTGACTCAAAAAAAAAAAAAAAAAGAAAAAGAAAATAATATATACATAGAATACAGTGTCAGCGTTGGCAAAAAATTCCAAATCACAGCTAGACTTTTCATCTTCTGGTAAAGAATAAGTGGAGGTATTTATTGATGTCAAGCGTGAATTTTAGTCTATAACATTTCTTTAAAGTCTGTTATAGAGACCTTTAACAAAGTGGTATTTGAAAATGGATTGAATAAGTTTTTGAGAGATTCAGTACCATGATTATTTTTTAAATGAAAAAATTTTGAGTTAGATCCCTTGCCTAGAAGATGGATTGGGAAGTCTCAGTAACGATAAAGTATGCATTTTTAAAAATTGAAAAGCTTGAGCCCTCATTGGTTTCAGTGTATATATCTTCTTACTAGAATGACAATTAAAAGGATTTATATTCTGCTAGCTTTAAACTACAAGTGAGTTAAATAAGATTTTAATTTTTTTGCCTTGAGTAATTAAGTAACTATGTGGTCATTTAGTAATGAACTTTAAAGTGATATTGACACACATTTATAAAATATGCTATTTAGTAAACAGTCCTTGGTCGCCTAGAATGTGCCAGGGATTGTCCCAGCACCTCCAGTCCACGGGGACATGGAGCAGTGAGCAGTCATAATCCAGTGAGGTAAGGGTTTGAGGGCTGTAGGTGTCCCTGGGTACCTCCCCAAGACTCTTCGCATTGTGACAGAAGAAGCATGAGCATGGGTGTGGCTGCAGGCTCATTTCTAAGCCGGGGGAGGAGCTTGAGACAGGAAGCTGAGAAAGGTAAAACTGGCCAGATGATTCACTGAGAATAAGGAGACAGGCGATGGGGTGGAAAGTGTGAGTCATGGGAGGTGTGGCTCACCGGGTCCATCTTTGGAGTTTAGCTACCACCAGAAGCCAGGAAGATATATATAGCATTCCTACAGTCCCTTTTGTCTATAATGCCTGAGGCTGGAAATGGTATTTATAACAAACATTTGCTTCAGGGAAGGGGAGTGCTTTGAGTGTAAAAGAAAAACTACTGTTTCCACAGAGCTGCCACACCCTACACTTGCCATACTTATTTTGAAATGGTCCAAGAAACATTTGGCCACTCTCTCTCACTGCCAATGAAAACCAAAGAGATAGGGAACTGGGAAGAAAGAAGTGTATTTCTGAATTCAGAATTCAGGGAGACATCACCTAGAGTTTTCACTTGTCTCCTCCTTGAGTAGATTTTACCATTCAGTACTTATAGCTAAAATATTCAAGCAAAAGCCTTATCCATTTTAGCTATTAATGAACATCACTTGTGTCCTGTGATTATTACATCAATTTTAACATTCCTTAGGTTTACAAGTTCTTCCAACAGTTTACTTTCCAGCCCATCATAGTCCATTGTTCACACAAAGAGTTCTAACTTTCAAGACACAATTTGTTTCTAAGATTAAATATACTCAGCTGATAATTAACATACATACCAAGGAATGCATGGCTATACTTTTAAAAAGGAGAAAAGAAGCTGGGCTGGGTGGCTCAGCCTGTAATCTCGTGCCTTTGGGAGGCTGAGGTGAGTGGATTGCCTGAGCCCGCGGGCTCGAGACCTGCCTGGGCAGGCGAGACCTCATGTCTACAATAAATCAAAAAATTAGCCGGGCGTGGTAGTGCACGCCTGTAGTTCCAGCTACTCGGAAGGCTGAGGTGGAAGGATTGCTGGAGCCCAGCAGGTCGAGGCTGCAGTGGCCAGGAGCAGCCACTACACTCCAGTCTGGGCGACAGAGTGAGACTCCAACTGAAAAAAAAAAAACCAAAAAAACAAAAAGGAGAAAAGACAATACATTTCGAAGTTTAAGGAGTCCATCTATTTTCTCATCTGGACCTGGGGAAGAGCATGTCCTGGAGATGTGAGTAGATTGTTTCCTCCTGTTCTCAGGAAATCTGCCTTATGTTTAACTGCCTCTCAGGCAATGGTTCTTAGATAAGGTAGCTGCTTCAAAGCTTAGTCGAGCTCGGCTATTTTAACCAAGCAAGGGAGGTCTACACCCAAAGGAAAGAATGTGTCCTAAACCCGGGCTGGTGCCTGCAGCCTAGATCTACGGAAAGTTTCAAAGCACATTTTTAATGTATAGAATGTATTTTTCACCTTTACAATTTCACTTGAGCCCAACAGCTTTGGAAGGCAGGTGAGTGTGGTCTAATACAGAAGGTAGCTGGCTGCCGGGGTTATTTTATGCACTGAACCAGCAGGCTGAGAGGGCAGGGGTTTAACTATTGGTTGGAATAGTTGATCTCAGTTACTTAGGGGAAAGCGATTGATGCTACACAGTGGGGGAAGGGAAGAATCCAGGAATTCT